AACAATGCTCTAGTTATCTTATCTATACAGACTCTTTTTCTGCCCACATCTGAAACCTTTTGAATACTGCTGTAGTCTCTTACATGTATTCATTCTGTAACCCATACAGAGATAGATAGAAAGAGAGATTCATAGGTATAGCTGCTGTGTGCTCTGTGATATAAGAGTTAGTGGTTAAGATGGAATAAAGAACTTGCATTTGCCTCTGCCAAGTCACTAACGTAGGCATTCCATATGATATGATGCATTCCTATCATCTGAACCACCTTTAAACAGCCTAGTGAACTTATTGTTATTCAATAAATTCTGATATTATGGAAAGACACATTTTTCTGTGCTTCTGGCATAGAACACATAACAACAGCTCAGTGAGTAAAAGCACTTGCCACACAAACATAAATAAATTTAGATTGCTAGGACCCAAGTAAAGCTAGACATGACAGCATGCATTTGTAATGACAACAATCCTACAGTGAGATGGATGGGACAGAGGAATTTCTGGAAGCCTTCAGGCCAGCTAGCCTGGGATGCACAGAAAAGATCAAGAGACCCTGTCCCAAACAAGGTAGAAAAGAAGAACTCCTTCTAAAAATTGTAATATGACCTCCACATATGCACCAAGGCACATAGTAAACACACCACACCATGATAATGTTAAAAATGAATAGCTACTATTTGTTGAAGATCTCTTTGTCTCCAACTTTACACCCATTTCCTTAAACGTCAGGTCATCTCCTCACTTCACAGAGAAGAAAATGAAGACAGTAGACAGCTAAAGGGCTTGCCTGGGGTCAGAGGGGAGCTTTGCAACCTACAACTTCAGAGCAGCTCTCCAGGTCCCAGCAAAGGGGATTGTACAGGGACAAAATCATGAATCAAATAGAAACTGAATCAAGATTTTTCTGGCCTTGGTGGACAGGGAAAATGGGGAGGAACTAAAGCAAGAACAGAGGGTATGAGGGACAGGAAGTTACTTGCTGTGCTCTTCCTACAAGAGCCCATGTCTGTGTCTGAACTAAGGACACAGTAGAGAGAATAGACTTTTTAAGAGCTATTCATGATGGAGACAATGTGCTCACTGATGCCTAGTGGGATAAATCCCACTAGATTAAGGTGCAAGGAGGGTCTAGGGGGAGCAGGCGGAACTACTGCAGAGGTCAGAGGGCAGCAATGGAAGCAGGTGAAGATGGACAGCTAACCAGTACATTTAAGATCTGAGATTTACTGGACTTGGCAACATCATGAGAGCAATGCAAGCATGACTGAAGAACAAGCAGTGAGATCAGAAACCAATCTCAGGCAACAAGGCAGCGCCTGAAGACTGAACTCTGGTGTCAGAGAGTGCTGACAGGGATTTAACACTGCTATGGTTCATTTTCTGATACTGTAGCAAAGTGCCTGAGGCTGCTTGACTTTCAAAGAATAGAGAATTGTTTTGACACAGAGTTCCAGGAACAGGGAAGTCTTATGAGCATGCTAATAACATCTAGTGAGGGCATCCCAACACTGTAGAAGTGGAAGAGCAAGCTGTTGGTTTCAGGAGACAGAACAAGGCTGCTTCATTTAGACCAGGCTGATCTCCAGTTGTTCAGATCTCCAGTTCTTTAGGCTGTGAATAGCATTCACCCACCAGTGATGAACCAGGGTGTTGACATACATTTCTGTTCTGTCCTACCCGGTCCTGCAGCCATTCAATCCCAAATAAACACACAGAGGCTTATATTAATTATAAATGGTCTGGGCTATTGCTCAGGCTTATTACTGACTAGCTCTTACAACTCAAATTAACCCATAATTCTTATCTGTGTTTAGCCATGTGCCTTGGTACATTTTCTCAGTGAGGCAGTCTCATCTTTCTTCCTCTGTGCTTGGGTGGTGACTGCATTTCTGTCTTTCCTCTTCCCAGAATTCTTCTCATCTGATTGACTTGCCTATTCTTCCTGCCTGGCTACTGGCCAATCAGCATTTTATTAAACCAGTACAAGTGACAAATCTTTACAGTGTACAAGAGCATTATCCCACAGCACCAGGAAACCAGCTGGCAGAAGGAGGATCCCTCATTCCCTACAAAATTGAACATATGTATGTGGGCTTTTCTGTCAAAGGGACAATAGTTGTATCTCACATAAATAAGTAGGATCCAAGTGTAGTGGTTTAGATGAGAATGACCCTCATGCAGTCATATATTTAAACACTTGGTTGATAGGTGATGGAACTGTTTTGGTAAGGATTAGGAGGTGTGGCCTTGTTGGAGGAGGTGTGTCATTGGGGGTAGGCTTTGAGGTTTCGGCAGTCCACATCAGGCCCAGTGGCTGTCTGTCTGTCTGTCTGTCTGTCATCTATCTATCCCTTCCTTTCTCGCTCTCTTGCTCTTTCTGCCTCATGAATCAGGTGTATGTTTGTAGCTACTGCTCCAGCACCACACCTGCCTGCCTGCTATCATGCTTCTCACCATGATGGTCACAGACTCACCCTGATGTTATAAGCAAGCTCCCAATTAAATGCTTATAAGTTGCCTTGGGCATAGTTTCTCTTCACAGTAACAGAAACACTATTAAGACACCAAGTGAGCTATTCTAAGAGTTTTCCCTCCATTTCCCCTTTCCCATCAATACTATTTGTGCTGGCTAGCTTATGTCAACTTGACACAACCTAGAGTCATTTTGGAAGAGGAATGACAATTGATAAAAAGCACCCACCAGATTGGACTGTGGGCAAGCCTATGGTGCTTTTTCCTGACTGATGACTGATGTGGGAGGACCCAGATCACTGTGGTTGCTGCTTCCCCTGGACTCCTGGCCCTGGATGGTACAAGGAAGCAGGCTGAGCAAGTCACAGGGAACAAGGCAGTAAGCAGAACTCCTCCATGGCCTCTGCATCAGCTCCTTCCTTGAGCTACTATTCTTACTTCCCTAGATGATAGACTGTATGCTGCAAATTAGAATAACCCTTTCCTTCTCAAGTTGATTTTGGTTGTGGAGTTTTATCACAGCAATAGAAACCTTGACTAAGACACCATTGCAGATTCCCCAGTGAAAAAGGAGAGCCAAGAAGTTTTGGACAAGTTGGGACTGTAGACTTAAGGAAGGGATGCATCTCTCAGTAGCTCCATGTGAATCGATGATTCCTGTGGAAATTTTAAATGCCCCAGCTCTCTAATGTATGTGGCTTTGAAGTCTCAGTCCCAGAGGAGAGAGTGAGGGGTGGAGAGAGCACTGATTCAACATTTGGCAAAGCACTGGAGTATGTAACACTTGGCATTTTCCTTGCTTCATTATTTAAAGGGCAATTCATTACGTGCAATGGAAACAAATAAAAACTCTATTTCTGACATTTCTAAATCTGAACCCTGAACTCTCCATAAACCTCCCAGTTTCAAAATAATTATTTAAGCAAAGCCCTGGTGTATTCTTTCTGAACCATTGAGTGGTGTTCCTAATGGTTGGTGATGCAATCGCCACCAGTGTGGTGACTTGGGTATTGGGCTTTTCCTGAAACATATTAAATGGTCCCCTATGCTGCAACCATTAAAGGCAATCCTGTCCTCACAGGCCTCAATCAAATTTGCACAGCAATTAGTCCTACCCAGAGTTTGATACATTTCTTAATTATAAAACAACTTTGTTCTCCATTGGCCCTTTCAGATGGGTTAAGAGAATGTTAATTACCTCCTCCTGAGACATCAAAGAGTTTTTGGTAGTGGTGTGTGTGTGTGTGTGTGTGTGTGTGTGTGTGTGTGTGTGTGTATTTAACTCCACTTTATGGGTGAATCAGACAAGAAGCAGGAACTAAGACCTACTGGACATTTACTATGAATTTGGGTTTATGCTGAGTGATTTCCACATGGGCAAATGAGCCCTTGGAAAATGTGTGGGTGCTGTTCTGCTGATGAGAAGAATTACTTTAGAAAGGGTAGATTACCTGACACTAGTGGGTAAATCTGCTGGTTACAAATTGAGTTTTGTTCTTAGCGGCCCTTGAGTCAATGACAACTTTTTGCTCTTAGTTTTAATTTTGTGTGTACTTATGTTTTTTGTGGCATACACACTCTGTGCCACATGGGGGCCAGAGGTGGGGGCCAGCTGGCTTCCTTTCTCTCTCTCTCCACTTTATTTTTTGAGACAGGGTTTCTCACTGGACCTGGAACCCACTGATTCTGCAAGTCTTGCTGACAATCAAGCACAGGGGTTCCTCCTCGCTCACCACCCCCCTCCAGCCCCCATGACTGCCCAGGACTGGGGTCTCAGGCATGCCACCAGGCCCCAGCCTTTTGGATACAGTTTGATCCAGATTCGGGTCTTATGTTTGTGAGGCAGGTGTTTCATCAACTGAGCCTTCTCGTCCATCCCATCTGTCTTTTTCACAATTATCATTCATCACGGGCATTTTTTGAGCAACTTCTGCTTGTCAGACAATGTGTTAGGTGCAATAAAGAATGTTGGCCAAGTTCCCTCAGCCCGCAGCTAACTCCTTTATGGTGTCACTAAGCAAAGAAAGACTACCTCAGCCAGGGTGAGTGTTGTGTGCCCTCCATGGAAATCATCACCTGTTTCATCCTGGTCCTAGGCTAAATCAGCCTCTCCAGATAGCCTTAGTTTTCTGCAGCCCCTATCTCTGGCATAAGAGAATGCTGAGAGCTTTCTTCCCTAGCCATGACTTCAGCAACCCGGACCCATGCCCTTTGCGATATCTCTCCTCCCCCACCTATGCGGTATTTCTTTTTGTTATTGTTGGTTTGGTTTTATTTTTTTTTTATTGTAATCTTCCTAAATTGCACATTTCATAAGACCATCAGGAAAAAGTCAGGAAATGAGGTTTCCAGGAAGAGAGAGGCGGAGAGTAGGGGGCTGGGTGGGGAGGGGGGAGAGGAGTCTTTCATTATCAGGACCTGTTCCACGCACACCCTCTCCCGGTGCCACCCTCGCGCTGGATGCAAGCCATTCTCCCGGCTAATGAGCGAGGCGCTGGAGATAACTAATCCTAATGCAATTACCGCTCGGCGCTGCACTGATAGGTCCACGATGCTCCCCGCGTGCCCGGCAGTCTGAGCCAGGCTGGAGCAGCTGGGCCTCAGCCTCCTGTTGGAGACGTTTTGACAGCTGTATACAGTCCCGGGCCCCCCTCCCACGGCCTGCGTCCCGGGAGAGTGATCTTTTCACAGCGAGTCCCCAAGAAGCCTGTCGGAGGTGAAATGAAATCTTAGCAGCTTGGGGAGGGGGTTGGGAAGGGGGTACGAGCTCCGATGCTATTTCCAGGGCGGTGATGGGAGCAGTAGAGGCTTGCCCCCCCCCACCGCCCCACCCCCGTTCACCCCTCCATCTCTGCGGCGCCCCGAGGCCTGGCGGGGTGTGCGGGTTATGGTGACAAATGGCAGCGCAAGGCCTGGCGCTCTCCTGGTGCAGCCGGCGCGATGGGGGGCGGGGGGGGGGACGCTTGCAGCACACTTGTTCCTTTGTTTAGCAGGACCACGTGCTCTGTTTGCACAGCAGCATGTGGTACCCCAGGAGGAAATCAAACCAGCGTTGAAAGTTCAAGGAACAGCCAAGCTCTGCTGGGAAGTGGTGGGGGCCAGGGCCAGGATGGAGAAATGGAGCGGGTGGCCTGCGGACTCCCTCCCCAAGAGTCGGAAGGAGGGGGACTCCAGGCCAGAGCTGTTTGGGATAAAGTGAACTGCTGGGTTTTGGCAAGGAAGGCACACAAGAGGACTTTCTGCACCCAGCGATCCTGTCTGACACACGAAGTGAACTTTGATGAGGGTGACAATCTTCTGTGTTGAACGGTTTTAGAGTTGATAAAGGCATCTCCCAACCCACATTTCATTAAACACTTGCAAAATCTTGTGATACTCTGGAGTCTTTCCTTCTAGAGTTTGGAAGAGAGAAAGGGAGGGAGCCCCTGAACCCTTGACCAAGTGTCTGCTCTACCTCGAGGCCTGCCTGGTGGGACAGTTCCCTTCATGCTCATAGATTCAGGAAACAGTCATCATTTTTATTCCACAGAAGTATCTCATATTCTCTCATTCTCTCATTCTCTCTCTCTCTCTCTCTCTCTCTCTCTCTCTCTCTCTCTCTCTCTCTCTCTCTCTCTCTCTCTCTCTCTCTCTTCTCCCCAATCATGGTTAAACAAATGCAAAAAATAAATGATGCACAATGTCTTCCATAAAAGGATGTTTTTTTTCCAAATCTAATTTCCCAAACACATCCATAGTTCAGCATTTCAGCCATCATTTTATTTTCATTTCTATCTGGACATATTCGTGTGATTTATGAATACATAAATCTTCATATTTAATAGAACTTTATTAGACATACCATTCACTTTAGTCACATACCAAAAGCATCTCTCCCAAAAGGAACACATAGAACTGGACGCAGGTTCTTTTAAATAGCTGCATGGTATGCTTGCATTTCTTGTATGAATGTTATTGAATTATCAGATGTTTCCAGTTTTTGCTTACTAAAACAATGCCAAACTTACATGGATATATATTGCACTCTGGGAAAGTATTATTTTAGGATGAATTCCTAAAATTAGCAATTCAAAACAGTGTTGGGTCAAAGGGAAGGTACATTTTAAATTTCAGTAGACGTGGCTAAATCACCAAGCCAAAAAAATGTTACACCAATTTGCAATACATTCAAGAAAGTTAACTAATACTATATGATGATGCATGAATGTCTGACTATTTTTGCACTCAAGCAGTCAGAGTGTTTGCTGATCACCCAGGAGACAATCTGATGAGATATCTATCTGTCTGTCTGTTTGGGTTTTGTTTATTTGCTTGTTTTGAAACAGGGTCTTACTATGCATCCATGGTTGGTCTGGAACTCATTATCTTGCCTCAGCTTCCTACGTGTTTACAGTCCAGGTATATGCCACAATGTCCTAGAAAACCCAATGTCTTCAGTAATGAATTCAGCATCTATTTTTTTAAAAATGTTTAGTGTTCACTTATTTTTACTCTGCAAATTATTGTCTTTCTCTCATTTTTTAAATCGGTTTGTTCATCTATTTTTACTGATTTGAGGAAATTTATTTTGCAATTTGCTATTTGTGAAGGGCTTTTCCTTCAGTTCATCTTCTTTTAATTATGAAGATGCCTAACATAGTCAAATTTGCCAGTCTCTGTGTTTATAGTTTTGAGGTTTCATGCCACACTTAGAAAAACATTCTCAAATTCCTAAAAAATTAAAAGAATATGCTATATTTATTTTCTTTTTAACACTTTTGTGATTTTTTTCATTTTATTTTAGAGTTCTTTATTTATCAAGTAACATAGGGTAGATGCCTTTTTAGAAGTTGGTAGTATTTTAATTCACAAAGTTTATATGCTGAAGCAAGAGACAGACAGTAAATGAATGGATGAGTAATTACAGCATTCAGAGAGCTGTGAAGAATTAATAGAAAATAACAATATCTACCTAGAGAAAGTGGTCACAGGAGGTGAGGTTTCTGACAATGTCTGGAGGATAAGTAAGATCATTCCAGATAGACAGAACCACATATGCGAAAGCTCTAAGGAGGTAATCCATTAGAGTGTTGGAGGAACTTACAGAAGGTGGTGGGGTACAAGCATGATAAAACTTCAAAGGAACACATTAGCAGGTACCTTACAGTCCCCAGTAAGTAATCAACTGTGCCTCCTGGTTCTTGTCCATCCAGACTGGCAGAGGGGAATACCCCCTGGCATTCTCATGTCATTCTCTCTTTTTAAAAAAACTTTCATAGCATTTTATTTGCTTATCCAATGTGGGGGACATGCACATGTTTGCACACGTGTGTGCATGTACATATGTATAATCATGTGTGTACTTGTGCACCTTGACCCACATGTGGAGGTCAGAGGACAATTTTCAGGAATTGGTTTTTCTCCTTCCACTAAGTAGGTCCCAGGGAGAGAACCCAGGTCAGGCTTGTCAGAAGGCACTTTTACTCCCATAGTATTCTAAACACTGATGTAACTGCCACACGGAGAAATGACCAGTGCCATTGTTAGAGTGAAATGTTCCTTCCATGCAGCACTCTGGCCATAGGTCAGTCATTTGGCTATATCCATCATTTAAAACCTATGGATTTGGGAAAAAAGGTTTTGAGTAGGTGTGTGTTTTCTAATTTAAACTTAAGTTGATGAGGAGTTGAGAAATGGAGGTGAGTGTGTACAACCCTGTGAATGTACTAAATACCTCTGGCTGTCCAGCTTATTGTATTCCGTTTGCCACAGTGGAAATGAAAATTAAGCATAAATCTATGAATCTAACTCACTATTCATTGTGCATCTACTTGGTCACCATTTATTCTACTTCAGACTCAAAAGAAAGTCCAGACTGTATAAACATAACCGCATTTGATGAGGTCAAAACTGCTAAGCTTGGAACCAGGCTCTCTGTGCACTCGGCAGCCCAAGTGGTATTTTGTGACACCAGAGAACTGCTGGACTAAGAGCTATGACCTAGTTAATTCCCTACTTGTCATAAGAGATCATTGCACTCCATTTGTCCATGACACCAAATTCATCCTAGACACATCACTGACAGCAATCATCCTCCCTACACTTCATAAGAGAAACTTGGGCATGGCCCAGCCTGGATATAAATTCTCATATGAAAGATGCTTGCTCAATGCCCCTACACATCACAATCAGCCAATGTGCATTTCTACCACCAGCTGACGGAAATTCTATTAAAAGAAACGTGAAGGCTTTGGGTGCTCTTAACCTTAGAACCCAAGGCTGCTCTAAAAATAGAAAGAGGACACCAAGGATGTTTCTCTCCCGCCTGGTACAGGGGTGCCCACTTCAGAGAGGGCTGAGCCGTACAGGTGGAGGCCATCTGTGAGCATTTGAAGTTTTAGAAATTATGGTTTCAAAATCCAACGCTGTCTTGTACTTCTCTGTCTGCCAGTTGGATCTTGAGATAACTGCCGATTTCTCCCATCCAGACAGACGTCACCATGCAGAGACACATTCTCAGAATACTGCTCCACAATGGAGTTACCTCAGAGATGTTCCTGAGAGAGAAGACCTGAATTTCTCATGCCCCACCCCCTGCCTTTTTTGGTTTGAATTTCTGGTGACTTATCTCATTTGTGTAAGTGGTGTGTGTGTGTGTGTGTGTGTGTGTGTGTGTGTGTGTGTGTGTGTGTTTGTGTGTGTGGTTTAATGTTGGCAAACATTATGGAAACATCAAAAGTAGCAGGAAAAAGAAAATGAAACTCCCATCATGAATCCATCTAACAGAAACTTCCTGAGGGCACACTATATGCCACATTGATATTTTTGTTACCTATTACTGGATGACAAGCCACCTAGTAATACAGTGACGGAAACAACTATTGTGTGTTTGTGGTTCTGTGGGTCAAGAATTTGGAAATGACCCCACTGGGTCCATTTGTCATCTGATAGGCTGGAAGATAGGCACCTCTGTCTAGAATCCCGCCCTCCACACACAGGGTGCATCATTCACAGTCCCCACTCTTCACTTGGGCTCCTCACAAGCTGGTCTTCTCATCATGGTCCTATTTCTTGCAGGATGACTACTTTCCTCGTGGTAACTGTTCCCAGGAACCCGAGCAGAAACCTTGGAAGATCCTGCCACGTTCCAAAGAGTTTATGCCTGTAAGACCGGTCCAGACTCAAGGGAAAGGAATACCTGGATTCCACCTTTCCATGCAGATGAAGGCAAATTAAAGACATAGTGGTGGGCATGCATGCAGAAGAAAAGTCACCACACCCACACCCAGGGCTGCAGGACCTATATCCAGTCTCTATTCTGACAGAAAGAACAAGCAACACAAATGCAAGTAATGGAAGAGTTGTACCAAGAGACAGAAGTGTGTAAAGGAGAGCCCAACCCAGATAGGAAAAATCAATATAAGAGCAGTCGATGAGGGATTTCAAGAGTATGGGTGATTCTACATAACACTGGGAGGTGCTTGAGATTACGGTGGGGAGAAAGGGAAGAAAGAAGACTGCCCCCAAAATGGAGAAATACAATGGGCCAAATGGCCCAGGAAATTGAGAAGTGGGAGTACCTGCAGCCCGAACCTGGAATCCTTTCAGTCTGTGTGAAAAGTAGAGTGAATAGGTGGGTGTGAGTGCTGCATGGCTGAGTGGAAGAGAAAACAATAGGCTGGCATGGAAACCACCAGCCTTCTGTGTTAAGGTGAATGTTCATTTAAAACAATTGCACAAGAGGGTCCATGCTATTTACGGAATTTATTATCCATTTATTATCACTCTATGTTACTAACATTTTCCACCTTAATAATCACACTGCTAAAAAACCATGTTAAATACAACAGTCCCTTACTATGGAATATTAGGGTACTCTGGATTTCCTGTTTTTTTGTCTAAGTTTTGTGTGTGTGTGTGTGTGTGTGTGTGTGTGTGTGTGTGTGTGTGTTTACATGCTTGAGTAAGGCAATCTCGTAGCCTGTGCCCATGTGGAAGTCAGAGGACAACCTGGGTTTGCATTCATCCTTGTTTGAGAACATGTCTCTTCCTGTTGCTACTGTGTACCATAGGTTTTCTGGCCTTGAACTTCCAAGGATTCTCCTGTCTCCACTTCCCATCCTGCCATAAGAGCACTAGGATTATAGATACATGCTACCAGTGACTCTCTTGCCATGGGTCCCAGGGATCTGAACTCAGGTCCTTACATTTGTCTGCCAAGTGCTTTTACCCACTGACCCATTTCTCTAACCTCCAATTTTCTCACTCTTAATAGTTTTCAATAACTTCTTAGTGACAGAATTTTTCATTCAACGTGTATAAGTCGCATTTTCAAAGTTTGGTATATAGAAAGGTATTTCTTTCTTTACATATTTTTATTAACAGATAAAATTG